GCCCAGCATTTCTCATGATGTACTCTGCATATAAGTTAAATAAGCAGGTTGACAATATACAGCCTTGACGTACTCCTTTCCCAATTTGGAACCAGTCTGTTCTTCCATGTCCAGTTCTAACTGTTGCTTCCTGACCTGCATACAGATTTCTCAGGAGGCAGGTCAGATGGTCTGGTATTCCCATCTCTTTAAGAATTTTCCAGTTTGTTGTGATTCACACAGTCAAAGGCTTTGGTGTAGTCAATAAGGCAGAAGTAGAGGTTTTTCTGGAACTCTCGTTTTTTTAATGATCCAACAGATGTTGGCAATTTGATCTCTGGTTCTTCTGCCTTTTCTAAAACCAGCTTGAACATCTGGAAGTTCATGGTTCATGTACTGTTGAAGCCTAGCTTGCAGTTTTGAGCATTACTTTGCTAGTGTGTAAGATGAGTGCAATTGTGCAGTAGTTTGAACATTCTTTGGCATTGCCTTTTATTGGGATTGGAATGAAAACTGACCTTTTTCAGTCCTGTGACCACTACTGAGTTTTCCAAATTTGCTGGCATATCAAGTGCACCACTTTCCCATCATCATCTTTTAGGATTTTAAATAGCTCAGCAGAAATTCCATCACATCCACTAGTTTTGTCCATAGAGATGCTTCCTGAGGCCCACTTGACTTCGCATTCCAGGATGTCTGGCTCTAGGCGAGTGATTACACCATCGTTGTGATCTGGGATGTGAAGATCTTTTTTGTATAGTTCTGTGTATTCTTGCCACCTCTTCTTAATATCTTCTGTTTCTGTTAGGTCCATATAGTTTCTGTTCTTTATTGTGCCCATCTTTGCATGAAATGTTCCCTTGGTATCTTTTATTTTCTTGAAGAGATCTTTAGTCTTTCCCATCCTATTGTTTTCCTCTATTTCTTTGCATTGATCACTGAAGAAGGCTTTCTTTATTCTCCTTGCTACGCTTTGGAACTCTGCATTCAAATGGGCATATCTTTCCTTTTCTCCTTTACCTTTAGCTTTTCTTCCTTTTTCAGTAAGGCCTCCTCAGACAACTATTTTGCCTTTTTTGCATTTCTTTTTCTTGGGAATGGTCTTGAGCGTTGCCTCCTCTACAATGTCATAATCACCTGTCCATAGTTCTTCAGGGACTCTGTCTATCAGATCTAATCCCTTGAATCTATTTGCCACTTCCACTGTATAATCGTAAGGAATTTGATTTAGGTCAGACCTGAATGGTCTAGTGGTTTTCCCTACTTTCTTCAAATTAAGTCTGAATTTTGCAATAAGAAGGGAGGCTTAGAAGAAGTGAAAGAAAGGAGAACTGCAGTAGATAGAAGCAGGATTCCAAGGAATGAGACATGAGCCTTAGACCCAATTTCTTACAATCCCTTGGACTACTTAGCCCTCGTCTCTGGAAACTGGGCCCTCATTCTGATGCAGCATGACTGGATGCCAGGTACAAAGGTTTGGCTGACCCCTGCTTCACATTGCTTGTGACGTGGCATTTCTAGCAATAGTCCATCAAACTGTTACATGAAAATGATATTGTGCAACAAGTGGGTTGCCTCAGGTTAGTGTGGAATTCAAGGGGAGTCTTTCACAGGTCTTTGAACACCTTTAAAGCATTTTATGAATGATTTTTTTTTCTCTGGAATGTTCAGCCCTGGTCCGGGAGACACTTTAAGTTTTGTTCAAACCATTGACATAGAAGGAAAAGAGAGAGAGAGAGATCTGGGAGACAGGTCATCCGCAAAGAGATGGAGGGTGGGGAGTGAGGAAATGACTGTGCAAAGCCAGTGTTGGAGGACTGCAGGGTATCCCGAACCTTGCTTCTGAGTTCCCAGTCCCCACTGCCAAACTCATTTTAAAAGCCTTGAGCTTCTAAAGCACACAGACAGAAACAACAGCCAAACAGACATACTGAGAAACGTGTAAAGCCCCCAAAAGGACATGTAAACACACATCCTCCTGGGTACCCCTTTTCTCTGAGTGCTATAGATGGGCTGTGACTCTTCACTATGGGCCCGCCTGGGTGCTCAAGGCAGGGCATCCTGTCAGAAGAAGTGGAGGACCTTTGAGGCCAGTTCAGACTAGTGCTGGGAGAGAGGAGTGTTGGACCTTGAGCCCCTCTGGCTACTGGGAGATGGCATCACAGCCTCGGTCTGCCAGTGGGCACCAGGCTGTCAGGGGTTCCCTGGCTCAACCCCATACTGACTCACCCAGGGACCCCTATATTCTACCATCTTCCAGTCCCTTTGCATATCCAGGCCTAGTTATCCTGGGGACCAGAGTCTGTCTCCTGAGGATAGGACAGGTAGTGGGACACTAATCAAGAGCCTGCGTCATGACCTTCTCCTGCACCTGGAGAGGGAGCAGTTTCTTAGAAGTGAAAGCCCTTCCCTCCCAGCCAGTCTGAGTTTCTTCTGTACCTGGGGTGGGGCTGGGGGGGGGGCTACTTTCCATCTCCCCCCAGACAAGGGGGTTCCTGTCAGTAGTGTGTTTGTGACAACAGGGGCAAGATCTAATGAAAACTGCCATTTGGGGCTTCCAGGCTTCTCCCCATCCTGCTATCTTCACTCTGACTAAAGGGCCTGGGTGATGGAAACCCTCAGATGCCCATGGGAGCCATTTGGGCCCAACCAGACCTCTGGGGCCTAGGTCACAGAGCAAGTGCAGTCCCAGAGCAGCCTGGATTTTCAGAGAAGAAGCAAGGTGAAAGTGGAGGAAAACGTGTGAGACAACTCCAAAATATTGTTGGAAAATTGACTTAGTTGATACAGGAAAGATCTATGGAAGAGGCTGTGACAAAGATGGACCATGTGTAACAGGAAAGAGTATAGATTGTGAATGACATCTGGCTACACAACTAGGCAAGTCACATAAATCCTGTGGGATTAGGTTTCCACCTCTATCAAATGGCAAGTTGATAATGTCTTTGTGATGGACTGTTGTAGAAATTAGAGAATATATATGCATGTATACACATACACATGCACATTCATATACATATTCATTTTCTACCTGCATGAGGCATGTCACTAAATCAATAATGACTGAACATTACTGGGTATCAGAAATATCTGGGAAAGAAAGTAAAATAAATACCTAGAGGCCTGGTTAAAACAGTTTTCTTGGCCTCACTCTCAGATTTTCTGCTTTCATAGGTCTGTAGTGATACATATGCATTTCTAACAAGGTCCTAGGTGAGGCTGATGCTACTATTCTGGGTACCGCCCTGAGAATCAGTGTGCTAAGCTGTGACAGCAAATAAGCATTATGTTTCTCCCTTTTATGAGTACCTTCCTAGCAGATAAGCAATGCATATTTGTCAATTAAAAAAATGAATGAGTGGATTTCACATAAGATCCTTGGTTTTCTTTTGTACAACACAGGGTTTTACTATGTGGTCTCTTGGGTCTTCATCATTGACACTGAGGGACTGGATCCCTTGGGCGAGGGGAAGACATCTGAAGAGCCAGGCCCTGGATCTGTGGTTCCAGACTACTGAGCTAGAGCCATGGGGTCTTTGGTGTTGTGGCCTGTGTGGAGGAGGGCACTATTGCCCAGGCCAAAGCCACCCCTGCTGCTCTCCTAAGAGGAGACTTCTTCATCTTCTAAGACCAAGGTGGCCTCAGCACACTCTCTTCTCTAGAGAAGCCCATCCCAGCATCATTTCCCAGCATCCTCTGTGGTATCCACCTCATCTGCAGGGGGGCAGAGGCATCTTCCCCTTTTCTGCCTCTCTAAGCCCTACCTTCATATACCCAAAACCACCCATGCCTAATGGAATTTGGGAGCAATCAAGGAATGCAAACTCAGCCTCAGATGTGTCCTTTTCTATTGTGTCAAAAAAAAAAGCGCGAATAATTTATTCTGAACCAAACAAGAGCGTGTCCTGTGCAAAGTACCCCAGAGAGCCTATCCCAGACTCCCTCCTCCCCTCCCTGACTCCACAGAAGTCACATGGCTATGACTAAGGCCCCAGAGTTGAGTGACCTACCCAACCTTTGCCTGAGACCTTTACCTCTAAATAGAGGAGCAAGAGTTATCCTCCCTGTTCCCTTATTCCTCATCCCCTTCATCCACCTTTCCCAGCAGGGGCCAGGGACACTGATGGTAGACAGAAAACCCACAAGGCAGCCCACTCAGTCTAGGCTAAGGAAAGCTCAGACCATGAGTAAAATAAACCCAAGAAAGGAAAAAAAAAAAAAAAAACACAACTCATCCTAGGGAGTCAGGAAGGAGAAAGGACACAGGCATCATGTAGGACTTAGTGTGTGAGGGTATCATCATCTTTATTGTTACATGGTTTCTTCTTGTCTCCAGTCCGGTGGTTGCACATCAGGACAGACCATAGCTCAAGCTGCAAACCATAAGCCTTGCTGAGGAGCTGCCTGCTCCAGGAGAAGCACAGGACTTTGGGGATACTCTGACTCCACTCCAATGGGAGTTTACAATCTAGCTGGGCAGGTAGGACAGACACACCTGAAAAGTGAAATAGCAATTCAAGAGATGTTGCAAAGGAGTTGCCAAATGGATGGTGCGGATGATGCAATGAATTCTAGGAAATCAGTCCAGGCTCCTGCAGAGAGGAACAAATACAAAAGGCTCCAAGGAATAGGTCTTGAAATACAGGTTGGATTTTTAGATACTGGGAGTAGCAGTGAAGTGGTCCGGGTAGTAGGGAAAGAGTGAGCAAAGGCTTGGGGGCAGGGACCCCAAGGGGATGTCTTGGGAAACACCCAAGATGTGCCATGGTGGCCAGACTGGTCTGGCTAGAACAGAGGATGTGTTTGGGGAGGAGTCAGATGTGAGGCTAAAGAGGTGTCTGAGACCCAGATGTGGATCCTGAGATGGCATGCAAAGGCGTATGGACATCAATTCTGCAGCAGGGAGCCTCGGAAAGTCTTCGAAGAGATACAAACCAGAAAACATTGGAAATTGTGGCTGCTGGGAATTGAGGATCAACATTTTCAGGGCAAAAGGTAAGGCCGTCTCAGCCGTGCTTTCTTTAAAAGTAGGCACCCTTTGCTCCACCACGGGTTCCGTGGTGGGTTCCACCTTTCACTCCAACACTGACGCCTCCTTGGTCTCCACAACCACCAAGACCCTGTGACTCGGGAAGGCCTACATCACAAGGCCTATATCTAGGCTCACTCTCTTGCCACCAGTTATAACCAGCTGGGCCACAGATGGGGGCCTCAGTGTCCAGGCGGTGTGGACTGGACTCACGACAGCCTAGGTCTCCTGTGCACGGATTTGGATTTGGACCTGAGCAGAGGCTGGGACAACGTCGTAGCTCCACACATGGCTCTGGGCTTGGGCAGGGCGATGGAAGTGGAATTGGCTCCGGACGTGGAAAAGATTCTTGGCGCTCACAGGGCTGCGGACATGGACGAGGTGCTGGAAGATCACACTGCACTGGGCGAGGATGACGCGGGGCTGGATATGGCACTCGGCGTGGTTCTGGATACACACAAGGTTCCAAAATTCGCCGTGGTGGAGAGCAGGGACGGAACTCTGGACTTGCGCACCGCTCTGGACGTGAACACGCACGTGGAGCCGGAAGTGGATGTGGGCGTGGAGCCGGAAGTGGACGTGGGCATGGAGATGGAGGTGGACTTCGCCGCCGTAATGGCTCTGGACTTTGGTCCAAACGCCGCGGAGGACGGAAGCTTGGGAGTGGACACGGCTCTGCACGTGGTCTCAGATCCGGGCAGGAGGTAACCCAGGAGGGTCGTGGGGCACAACTCTCAGGGCAGCGTCTGATGGGAGGAATCTGAACAGAACACTTCTGGGGGGGAACCTGCTTGGGGCAGCGAGGGGAGGAAATCTCTATTCGGCACTTGGGTCCACATCTCTGAGAGCAGCCCAAAGTGGGACGCCGAGAACAGTCACTGTTATAGATGGGCTCAGAGCGGCGGGGTGGGGTACAATAGTTACAAGAGCTCGGAGAACATCTTGACGGCAGGCAGCTACTGCTGTAGTAGGGCTCAGAACGTCGTGGTGGGGAGCAGCTGCGGTAAGAAGGCTGCAGCTGGCGAGGAGGGAGGCACCTGCTGGTGCTCCGAGAGCGACTCGATGCAGGAAAGCTCCCGTAAGAGCCCTGGGTCTGGCACTGGGGCGCACAGGTGCTAAATGAAGCCCGGGACTGGCGCTGGGGGACGCAGCTGCTGTAGGAGCCCTGATATTGGCACTGGGTGGAGAATCTTCCCTGAGGCTGGCATACCGGGGGACCTGTTACATAAGTCTGGACAGGCTGAGGTGCCGGGCAGGGTACATAGCTCTCGCCTGGGCATTCCACATAACAAGTTTCTGTATAACAAACTGGAGCACATTCTACATAGCAGGTCTGCACGGGGCATGGGCCTTCACACTGTACATAGGAAACCTCAGACTGCAATGGAGCCTGGCATTGATCACATGGAATCTGAGGCTGGCTTGGAGCCTGACCCTTCACCTGGGTGGTCTTAGACTGGCATGGAGCTTCGTCCTTCACCTGGGTGGTCTTAGACTGGCATGAAGCTTGGCCCTTCACCTCTGTAGTTTTAGACTGACATGGAGCCTGGCATTTTACCTGGGAGACTTGAACTGGGCATGGTGCAGGGCACTCCACAATTTGCATCTCACAGGGGGCTTGGACCACCACCTGGCTGTTGGCACAAGGGGACTGGGAGATGCAGAAGGGGGAACATGTCACACAGTACTGGGGGTGCGGCTGGTAACACTGAATCTGCTGCTGGTCACACATGGTTCTGATGCAGGCAAGTAAGCAGAACCTGAGGGTAGAAAGACCAAGATCAGGAGGGTGAGAGTTGTTGGGGAGTGGTGACCAGGACCAAGGGGAAGATACCCTGCTTATTTCCTGGCCTTTCATCCCCTACCTTCAACTTGTACCCAAGAGTCCTTACAGAGTGAGCTGGACCCAAGATTAGTCACCATTGCCCACAAGATCTGCCTTGAATCTGCCAAAAGACCTGATCTGAGGGAGCTTCAAAGGGACTGCAAATGGGCATTCCAGTGTCCAGCCCAAGAGGGCGCTGATGACAAGAGAATTCCCTCACTTCAGCAAGTCCTAAGAGGTGGGAGGGAGCTTTATATGAAGTAGAGAGGAACCTTCCTCCCAAGGCTGTAACCCAAAGTGGGAACTCCACACCCACAGGAGCTTGGATGTCCTCAAGCGCTCACACTGGCAACTTGCACATACGTGCAGACATGCAAAAGGGCACATATGGGAGCAAGCCCCAGGATTCCCAGGTGGCTCAGCGGTAAAGAAACTGCCTGCAGTGCAGGGGACGCCCGTTTGATCCCTGGGTCAGGAATATCTCCTGGAAGAGGAAATGGCAACCCACTCCAGTATTCTTCTTGCCTGGAAAATCCCATGGACAAAGAAACCTTGCAGGCTACAGTCTATAGTGTTGCAAAAAAGTGAGACACAACAGGGTGACTATGCACACATGCACTCAGGCACCATCTGTACTCAAAGAAAATATCCACTGTAGATTAAAGGATCCAGTCACTTACCGGACAGCTCAAACCCAGCATAAAATGTTTATTTCTCTCTATTCAATCTTTTTAGGTGAATTTACTTAAACAAGCCCTTGTGGATGTATGCAAAACACACACATACCAAATACACCAACCTTGGAAAGGCTCAGGACTGTCTTGGAAACTTGCCTAGGCAGATTCCTAATGTCAGTCACCTCAGCTGGGACAGTCTGCTAATTTCAGAAATGTTTTCTCCCCAGCCCCTCTGAGAGGCAAGGCACAGTTACCTAACATGGGGTGACCCAGAAAGTGCAAGTTTCCTAAATCACAAGACTGACATTCAGGCACACATAAAGCTCTAAATAGCAGAGTGTTACAAACACAATGTGGGGGTGCAGGCATGGTCCCCATCAGCAGACTTAGCCAAGGAGAAACTGAGGGCTATCCCCACTCCTCTGTCCTTCTCAAATCTGCCTGTTCACAGGCATCAGCCCAGTGACCAGCACAGCATGGAGACTGTTTTGACAATTAGTCCATCCATCAAAACACATCTCCATGAACTCCTGAGATACTGAAATACTTCTAATGAAGAGCAAAGCCTTCCACTGTCTGTTCTTACAGCCTAAGTATACATGTCTTTGAGGAAGGTAACCCTCTTACACACATGTATGCTCACAAGATATAAATTAATAATCCATCTTTTCCAGAGAAAGAGGTCCTGATGCAAGAAAATGGTACCTAAGGATAAGACCATGGTTATCCAAGGCAAATACACTGACTTCAGTGTCCCAGCTTTTCACCCCAACTCCATAGATATTCTTCCTCCATCCTCTAAAAGCCCTCCAGATGGTTCTCCTCTGAAGGAGTACCTCTCTTTTTCTGGTCCCAGGGTCTGCCCTCACTGTGCAGACTCTGGGAACCCCTTGGGCATCATCCAGACCCCAATCCCAAGACCCAACCCCTAGACTCACCCTCCTCACAGGCAAGAGTCATTCAGGCTGAGGAATCTGGAGAGAGGACTGTATATAAAGGCTTCTGGGTCTGGCTTAGACCATGAGACAACTGGTTGGCATCTGCCGGGCATCACCCAATTCCAGCAGCCAGTCACCTCCCTGTATGCTTGTCCTTGCAGTCACCTGTAGAATGTGGGAGTGTCTCGCCTTAGTGTCGAAGCCTCTGAACTATGAAGGAGCAGGTCCTTGTTTTCTTTCTCCTTCTTCACACTGTCAGTTTTTTCTCCATTCCTAGAAGACCTGGTTGAAGGGATGATGAGGTGTGGCAAAGGCATATTTTCTCTTGAAAGATGATTCCAGGCCCCTACATTCCTTTGTGTCTCAGATTCTAACCAGGTAGAGAAAACAGAGAAAAAATCCTTCTTTAAATTAAATAACAGATAATTCACTTCAGTTCAGTCATTCAGTTGTGCAACTCTTTTCCACCCCATGGACCGCAGCACACCAGGCTTCCCTATCCATCACCAACTCCCAGAGCTTACTCAAACTCATGTCCATTGAGTCAGTGATGCCATCCAACCATCTCATCCTCTGTCATCCCCTTCTCCTCCTGCCTTCAATCTTTCCCAGCATCAGGGTCTTTTCAAATGAGTCAGTTTTTCACATCATGTGGCCAAAATACAGGAGCTTCAGCTTCAGCATCAGTCCTTCCAGTGAATATTCAGAGTCGATTTCCTTTAGGATTGACTG